CTCATCGTCCATAATCCTCTTGGTGCTCAACTTTCTCCTCCTCCTCCTCCTCATCATCATCATCATCATCATCCTGCCGCTTCGGGTCTGTTAAAACAGAGGTAAACTAACTTGGTGCTCATACATCATCTTTACCTTCGTCAAGAAATTTCTCTGTGATATCAACGGCGTCCTGCGCAAGAAGCTCAGCAGGAGGAGGGAGACAGAGGAGGAGACGGAGGAGGAGACGGTGGTAGTGGTGGTGGAGTAGGAGCACAACACTAAGTCAACAATATGAGGAGAAGGGGACAGAGTTTGAGGGAATGATCGCATGGGGGTGAACACCAGCGTGAGAACGGGAGTAGAAATGCAAGGGAAGAACATGGGAGGAAACATGCCTACACACAAACACACAGACTGCAAGTTTGTTGCCACTACATGTGTCATTACATCAACATCGTCACAGTGACGGCAGATGTCGGCGCTGTCGTCCATCACGTAGTTTCTGTCTTGGGTCACTTCTGCGGTCTTTGCGTCCTTCCATGCAGTGTGAGAATCTGATGCCTCCCCATCCAGAAAGCCGCGCATCACCTCCTGCTCCACGACCTCATCGGGCACATCATCATCATCATCATCATCATCATCATCATCAGCAGCAGCAGCAGCAGCAGCATCAGCATCAGCATCGTCGTCGAGCGCTTGCTGCTTCTGTTATCACCGATCATGTCAGGCATGGCCAGCAAAAGATTGTGACTTCACCTCCTCCTTGGAGAACTCTTGCAGGACACCCAGGTGAGAGTCCAACAAGTTGTTGAGGGCATCAATCGAAGCCCTGATGTCAAGACGATCAGAATCATCGTGGTGCGAGCATCTGCTAAACATCTGCCAACCTGATGTTGTTCACTGCAATGTTCTCGATCTCGTCCTTGATGCCTTCGTGAATTTTCGAGGATTTCGATTTCCCTATTTCAAATCGACGTCAGAAGAGAACTTCTTTCGTTTTGCGGTAAGGAGTGACATCATCACAGCAAAACGAGAAAGTGAACAGACAACAAAGTTTTACCTCTGCTGCAATCACCATACGAGAGCAACTTCGTTTTGATCTCCTCTAGTTGCTCGAAGTTGTTTGCAATGTTTCTCAGCTGCAGACATCAACGTCATTTCGATGTCCTCCCTCCTTCAACCTTACCTGTGTGTTCGGAGATCCGCTCGCTCTCTTCACCGCGTCCTCAATCTGCGCCAGTCCCTGAATCAAAGCACTCCGCGCCTGCAAAGATCATCAGATGTCCATCGTCAGCGCCGCTCTCCATGTTTATCATCCGTGTCATTGCCCACGAACATCGTTTACATACACATGACCAACATCTCGATCACTACCGTCACTATCTACATCATTGTCACCATCATCTCCATCTCTGTCGTCGCTGCAATCTTTGTCGCGTGACATCCTATCATTACACACGCGGTGCCTTACCCTCTCCGGCGTATGGCCGCTTGATGGAGGCGCTCTCATCTTCCTGTTTGACGTCTGCACAAGGAAAACAAGAAAATCAGCTTGCTGCAATGTGAAGGAGGAGCAATTCAAGTCAGGCATGACCGAATAGTCGATGTGATTCAAGTCTTTCCATTCAGGCCTCTTCTTCCTCGCATTCTTCTTGTTACTCGCAATGCTTTGCTGTGAATCTCGATCAGATCAACATCGTCTTCATGTTCAGATCAACATCGTCTTCATGTTCAGATCAACATCGTCTTCATGTTCAGATCAACATCGTCTTCATATTCAGATCAACATCGTCTTCATGTTCAGATCGACATCGTCTTCATGTTCAGATCAACATCGTCTTCATGTTCAGATCGACATCGTCTTCATGTTCAGATCGACATCGTCTTCATGTTCAGATCAACATCGTCTTCATGTTCAGATCAACATCGTCTTCATGTTCAGATCAACATCGTCTTCATGTTCAGATCAACATCGTCTTCATGTTCAGATCAACATCGTCTTCATGTTCAGATCGACATCGTCTTCATGTTCAGATCAACATCGTCTTCATGTTCAGATCAACATCGTCTTCATGTTCAGATCAACATCGTCTTCATGTTCAGATCAACATCGTCTTCATGTTCAGATCGACATCATCTTCATGCTCAGATCAACATCGTCTTCATGTTCAGATCAACATCGTCTTCATGTTCAGATCAACATCGTCTCCATGTTCAGTCCTTACAGCATCAGATTCCTCCATGTAGAAGCTGGCATGATCCGACATCCCCCCTGCGCCCGCCCCTGCGACTCCAGCTGACCCTGGTCCTTTCCCGACCTTCCCGCCTTGGAGGAGAAAAATCAGGAAGGCTGTACGAGTGACAACACACAGTACCACATCCTGTCAACTTCTCTGACTTGAGGACGGACTTGGCTGAGAGAGCGCATGTCAGGTTTGAATTCTAAAACAAGCAGCCCAAAGTTCCAATGCTGGAGAAGATGGAAGACGATATCACAGCACAGTGCTCATGACACCATGCATGATCTCTCTTCCTCATATCAAGCATCATGATTCCATGCCTCCTCACCTCCTGCTATCTTCTTGCTCATCATCTTCAGCCGCTGTTGCTCCTCCCACCGCTTCATTGCGTTTTGCCGCATTTTTCAACTGATCCCTGCCCTCATCCCCCCTTAGGACCTTTTTATTCCCCAGGCAGATTCCCGGGTGTCTGCAGTGGTGTAGTAGAAACTACCTCGGGGGTACGGCCCGGTCATCGAGGGGATGAGGGACGTAGCCGTTGGTTTCGTTGTGCGGGCGATATCATGGCGTATCGAGCTTGCGAACAGAAGCAGCATGCAGGGGAGCGAGAGGAAGAAGCAGCATGCAGAGGAGCGAGAAGAAGACGCATCATGCAGAGGAGCGAGAGAAGGGAGAGAAGAGGGAGGAGGGGGAGGAGGGGGAGGAGGGAGGGAGGGAAAGAGGGAGGTTGAAGATGGCAGGAGGGCAGGCGGGTGGGCGGGTGGGCAGGAGGGCAGGCAGGGAGAAAAAACGCAGAGATGAAGCAGCAATCACGTTGTTCACCAATGAAATTCCGTCTGAGAGGAAGATCATATTAAAGGAGAGCAGTGGAATGATCCTACTGAGAGCAGGAAGATGCATGAGGACTTGACAAGGACTTACTTCACACCGAACGAGGTTGCTTCACACAACTCATCGGTAAGAGCTGTGCAATGGCTGCACCCTCTCATTTCTCCTCCTCCTGATGTGTGTTCGTAGCAAAATGACTGCTGGGTGTCCTTTCTGGGAAGAGTGTACAACCTGACAGATCTCATACTGGAGAACAAAGGTTGGTATGAAGATGCGGAGAAGAGGAGAAGAATGACTGTTAAGCTTGCAGGAGCTCTGATCCAGCCCATCGCGGATGCGGCAGGGAAGGACATATCGCACTGGTTTGATCCGAAGGGGGATGTTAAGAGGTACAAGATGAGGAGCTGGAGCAGGAGCATGATGATGATGATGATGAGGAGGAGGAGGATGGAGATGGATGATAAAGCAGAGGAGGATGACGATGTAGATGATGATTATGATAATTTCATGATTGAAGAAACTGATTTTGATGGTGCCACAACGGCGATATTGATATTTTTGAAACAAACAGGCACATCAATATGGAGACGGGGATAGAGGAATACTACACTCCGATGGGACGATTTCTCCACATTCCGCCGTCTGATCCTAGCATGGACTTCAATACAGACTTCGATCTCCCTTGGTGAGTAGAAAACTGGAAACTGATGGAATGATGATGATATTGATAAAGATGATGGAGAGGAGATGATGATAAAGATGTTGATCGTGTTGTTGTTGTTGTTGTTGTTGTTGTTGTTGTTGTTGATGATGATGATGATGATGATAGACAACGTACAGAGACTTGTGTCAAACATTTTTCGGACAAGGGATGCGACTTTCGTTTTACTTCTCGTCACCTTCCTCTTTCGTTTCTCCTCACCTTGGCCCTCCTCCAATCGCCTCACTCTCTCGCAGGTGGAAAGATCATGAATCTGCTGAGCCGAAATATTGGGTGGGAATGCTGTCAAAGAAGACGAGGATGATTCGGATCGTAAACATGTTGACAAAGGATGAGCACACAGTAGAGGTAGGGAGAACAGGAGAGGAGAGGAGAGGAGAGGAGAGGGAAGAGGGGAGGGGAGGGGAGGGGAGGCTGAGGGGGGAGTAGAGTTTTGTAATAGGTTCGTGCAGGTCTGTTCGGAAGACATTCTCGAGCAGATTCAAAGCAAGTATCTCATGCACAACAAGCATGCCGCGAGGTTGTCATGTTCGATCTGAGTGACTTGTTGAGCTCAACAGGATGTCAACTTGCTCCTGTGTTGATGTTTATGGGGAGAAATAGTTGTTCTCCTTTCTATGTGCCCCCTTCCCCAGCAACACTCCCACCCTCCTCTTCCTCCTCCTCCTCTTCCTCCTCCTCCTCCTCCTCCTGAAAGTTGATGTCGCTGACGTTTGCTTTGCTTGTCAACATCAGCTACACCTGGAAGAGGTTGCCTCGTCCTGGGGTTGAGAAGGAGATGGTTGTGTTGGACATGAAGAAAACATTGGAACAGAACGGGGTGAGATGATGAAAATTTAGTTACATGATGATGATGATTGTTGTGGTGATATGATGATGATCTTGTGGTGGTTGTGGTTGTTGTTGTAGTTGTAGTTGATGATGATGTGGAGGAGGATGGGGACAGGAAGGATGATGATGATGATGATGATGATGATGATCAGCAGCAGCAGCAGCAGCAGCAGCAGCAGCAGCAGCAGCAGCAGCAGCAATGGATGTTGACAAGGACGCAGGTTGTGGACGAGAGTGAAGAGTTTGAAGAGCTCGGGTTGGATGACGATTATTTCATCCCTTCCTTGCACTTGTATTACAAAGACGACCTCACGGTTGCGTGAAGACATTAAAGAAGACTGAGATTTACATGAAGGAAGGAGAGAGAGAAAGAGGAGGGGGGGCGAGGGAGGTAGGGGGGATAAAAATAGAGAACGATGATGGAGGGAGGGAGGTGGTGGTGGTGGTGGTGGTGGTGGTGGCCGGGGGGGGGAGCGTAGGGGGCGGTAAGAGATCAATAACGTATCGTCTGTCTTGGCCAGCATCAATGCCTTGTTGTCTTTCGAAGGCAGCTCGCCGTGAGGGATCTGATGTCGCCGACGTCAAGAAATCTTGTTGTTCTCGATGAAAGACTGAATCAAGCTCCTCAGCGCATGATTGGGAATCAGCATAACTGGCTGCAATGAAGGTGAACAAGGCTCGAAGTCCCACGACTCAATCCCATCACCTCTTGCAGACTCTGATTCGTCATGGGAGATGTTGCCTTCCTCTTTACCCACTGAGTGGAGAAAGATCAGATGACTGACGTTGAAGACTTGAAACATCTCGAATCCTCACAACCTTACAATTCATACGACACAAACAAACTCGTCATTACATCGGATGTCACGAGGGCGTCATTACATCTGATGTCATGTGTTGTCTTACAAGACACATTTTGGGAGTAACATCTTCAGTTTTCAATCTTGCAAGTCATTAAATTTTGTGTTTGCAACTGCAAACATCCAGCACAATCACCACTCTCGCACATCTCGTCACAAAGGTCAAATCTGGTCATTCTTGACCATGTTTATCACGTCATCCCCCATCGACATCATGTCATGTTGTGATCACTGCAATCCTTCAAACCTCATACGTCTTGGTTTTCATCTCCATCATCAACAACACTACAAGTACACCTCAACAACACCAACAACACTTCCGCATCCATTCAAAACTTCAACAACACCTCAACACTGCTCGGCTTGTCCTCTCCTCACCCGTGTGATGGCTTCCCTCTCATATGTGTGCCCGTCGGAGCAGATAACAGGGTCCTTCACTGCAAGGAGGGTGAGGAGGAGGAGGAGGAGGAGGAGGAGGAGGAGGAGGAGGAGGAGGGTGAGGAGGGAGGGTGGAGGAGGGAGGGTGGAGGAGGAGGAGGAGGAGGAGGAGGAGGGTGAGGAGGAGGGTGAGGAGGAGGAGGAGGAGGAGGAGGAGGTGGTGGTGGTGGTGGTGGTGGTGGTGGTGGAAGAGGAGGAGGAGGAAAAATGTTGAGAACTGACTTATGTCGCTGCTAATGGGGCAAAGCATCTCTGGGGGGATGGAGAGTCCTTCCGGGAGAAGAAAGTCCGGCTGAGGTCGTACAGTTAGCAAGGAGGTGGGGAGGGTGGAGGAGAAGGAGGAGAAGAGGAGAGGAAGGAAGAGGAGAGGGGGGAGGAGAGGGAGGGATGGACGGAGAAGGAAGGGAGTGGAAGGACGAAATAGCAGGGAGGAGAGGAGGGACGTGGCGAGGAGGAGAGGAGAGGAGAGAGAAGAGAAGAGGAGGGAGGAAGGGAGGTGTGACGAAGGGAAGGGCAGGTTGGGGGGCAGGAGGCAGACAGGATCAGTGAGGAGGGAGTATGAATTTCTCGATTTCAAGGCTGCACGAGCAACACCTGAGCTGAATCCTGGTGCGACCTGCTGCCTTCGGAGTGTTCGTCGTGACCTCTAGCTCCTCCTGCTCCTGCTCCTGCTCCTGCTCCTGCTCCTGCTCCTGCTCCTGCTCCTGCTCCTGCTCCTCCTCCTGATTCAGGCATGCGCAATCGGATCGTCAAGGTTGTGCCAGTGGCTCCCGCATTCCTCCTGCTCTCATGCTCCCCTGCATGGCTGCATGATGACAAATCAGACAAGACCTCCAAACCATCCTCCTCATCATCCACGTTGCCCTCCCTTACTGCCCTTCCCAATCGCCCCACATCTCCTCTCCCCTCCTCCCTCCCCTCCTCTCCCCTCCTCTCCTCTCTTCCTGCTCTGCTCTTTTCACCTCCTAGTCTCCTCGTTCACGTGCACCGCGTTTTCACTTCCCCTCCCATGCGTGAGTCGCTCCCACTCATCGCCGACGCAGCGGCAGACAACTCCTTGCTTCCCGCACCTCCTGCAGACCGCATACCTGCGAGAGGTCACAGGAGGGGAGGGGTGAGCCGAAGAGAGGAGGGAGGAGGGAGAGGGAGGCAGCAGGAGGAGGGGGGGGAGGGAGGAAGGTGGGGACAGAGGATAGGGAAGGGGGAGAGGGAGAGAGAAGGAAACAAATGCGCCGGGCAACAGTAGCGTATGAAAAAGGAGTGAAACAAAGGAGAGAGATGGCGTAAGAGATCAAAATGACAACGAAGGTCAAGGATCAGGATCAGGATCAGGATCAGGATCAGGATCAGGATCAGGATCAGGATCAGGATCAGGATCAGGATCAGGATCAGGATCAGGAGGGAGGAGGGAGGAGGGAGGAGGGAGGAGGGAGGAGGGAGGATGGCAGGATGGCAGGGGGAGGCAGGAGCAAGAGCAGGATGAGGAGCAGAATCAGGAGCAGGAGCGGAACCTGTTCTGCCAGTCTGTGATGATAGGGGCGGCTCCTCTTGTTGGTGAGGAAGAAGGAACGTCGGGAGGAACTCTACACGAGCACGTGCCGAGACTCTTGTGACAATGCCGGCAGGAAGAGTGTCTGCCACGAGAGCATCTCAGCGTTGCTCCTCCTCCTCCTCCTCCTCCTCCTCCGTGAGCGGTGAGAAAGAGGTAAAAAAGATAAGGGAGCAGAAGAGGGGGCAGGAAGGAAAGGAAACATGTCGGACCTGTTCGGTTGTTCACTCCCTCCCCTGCCCCATGATCTGCAACTCAACAATTCACTCCCTCCCGCCCAATCTTCTCTCTTCCCTCCCTGCCTCCCTGCCTCCCATGATATCGGCAACGTCCATGAACGCTCCCCATTCTCACCTTTCGGGCAGGCCAACGCTGCTGTCCTCGTCTGCAGCAGGGATGACTTCTGCAGGACGAACTTCCCCATCTATGGCTGACTTGCAGTCAGGAGGATTGAAGCAGCACATGACCAACACGGATGGAAGTCGCAAAAACTCACATGCTTGCTCCGCTTCACCGTTGACCTAGAAATCATCCTCACAGTCAGCCAGGCTCCGCTCCCTCCCCCTCTGAGCCCTCACCTGGATTCTGCTCCTCGTGGAGGTAGCACGGGTACGATTCTCACTGGCTCTGTCCCCTGGTACAGCACAATATGAGGAAAACACGTGCTCCTTCCCTTGTCTTCTTAGGATCACCTGAGGAGGTTTGTCGAAACATGTTCATATTGGAAGCAAACCCCTTCACACAGAGTTAGACCTTTCACCTCAAACCCTGTATCCTCATCATTTCTCATTTCCACAACAATCTCCTCGAGACATCATCCATATCTTTCTCTTCATCGTCATCTCCGATCACGACTGCAACCTTCAACGCCAACACTCATGCCGTGACAGGGTGCCCCTGTCATCTTGTCCATCTCCACCATCTTCCTCTCATCATAGATTCATCGCCACCATCGCAAAACCCCCCAAAAAACAATTTCCCTCCCCCTCCTCCCGCCCCAACTCCCTGACGTTCCCCACCATAGCGTCGCTGTACAATCTTTTATAATCTTTCTTATAAAATATGGTTTATAATTTGTAGACGTATATAGTCGATGATGGATTTTTAGGGTTACAAATTTTGGCTCAAATACCTTTTTAACCCAATAAAAGTATATAAAGAAATTTATAAATTATTTTTAATTGTTTCACAAAATGTAAAAATTCTTTTATCATTCCAACAATGTTTTTAAAAGCAAGGGCGCATTATACAATTTATACCTGTTGCGATCGCTCCAAGGTCTGAAATGCTCGAGGAAGAAGAGTGGACCTGGAAATGGCGGGGAGGAGAAGCAAGGGAGCGAGGAGTGCAAGAGGGATCATGCAGGGAGAAAGATCCAGGGAGAGGGAAGCAGGGAGGGAAGCAGCAAGATGCTTGATGGGGGGTGTCGAAGCGATTCGGAAGGGCTAGTGATTTCTTTGCCAAGGGGCAAGGCAGCAGACATCTATGTCAGGGATGAGCATGAAATAAGAAGCGACACCGTGTTCAAGAAACGTACTTAGTGTATTTCAGATGGGCGTGACGCAAAGCAAGCAGAAAGTGCTTCTCGATGCACAACGGGACCGCAAGCCGCCGGGCAATGAAGCCGATTACTTCAAGACGAGGTAAGGGGGCGTTCGCTGTCGATCTAGCTCCTGAGATGATGGCAGTCAAGGGATGTATCTGCACTACAGGTCTTGGATGCCCTCCGGTCAGCCCAAAGGCGTTCTGTTCATCATCCATGGTAGGGGGATGTTGCCTGGAGCAAGAAACTGAGAGGGAGACAGGTTTGGCAGAGTACTGCGAGAGATATGACAAGACGGCGGAGGAATATAAATCTCTTGGATTTGCGGTCTTCTCCCATGACCATCAGGGGCACGGCAAGAGCGGTTCGCTCCCGATTCCTGCATGCGGTCCCTTGGCTGACCGAAACTCTGTGCTTTCAGAAGGAGAGCGGGTTTACATCGAGCACTTTGCAGACTACGTCAGCGATTTCTACGACTACGTGCAATTCGTGATGGAGAGACATCCCGCGTAAGAGAGGGAGCAGGGAGGATGGCTGATGATGCGAGCGGCTCCATGACGGCTGACTGTTGTTCCCAAAGGCTTTCCAAACTTCCCCGGGTGGTCTGGGGACATTCCATGGGTGGTCTAGTCGCCACTCACGTCATCCTGGTGAGAGGAGGAAGCTGATCGTCGTGCCGTGTGATCGAGTCCTTCACAGGACAGCAGCAAGTACGCGGCCCAGTGGAAGGCGTTGATGCTGACTGGGCCAGCGCTCGAAGTCGATCCTAAAGCAGCGTCGCCGTTCGCTCAGTTCCTGGCGAGGACGCTCAGGTCTGTCTGCATGCTGCATGCTGCGAGAGCGCTCACTCCCCGCGCGTGCCGAGCAGCAACCTCGTCCCCAAGTTCGCCGTCCCGTGGGAGCGAGGGCCTGCCAGAAAGTTCCCGCTGTCGCACGATGACAAACTCAACGAGGCGTTCCATAGCGACCCCCTGGTCTATCACGGGTACCTCCCAGCTGCAGCTCAGCTAGTGAGTGAGCTCCTCCTGACCTGTGCGGGTGCTCTGCAGGGGACTGCGAGTGAGGTGGGGAGCAGAGATGCTGACCGCGATCGCGAGGGCCCAGGATGACGCCGGGTCGATCTCGCTGCCTTACATCCTCTTCCATGGCAGCGGTGAGCGACCGAGGCGTCCGTGTGCGAGAAGGAACTCACGACGTGCGCCAGCGGACCATATCACGAACCCCGATGGGAGCGAGAGGTTTCACAAGAACACGAGCTCCAGCTCCAAGGAGTTCGTCCCAATCGAGGGAGGATACCACGAGGTAAGGCGAGGTGCGGGCACCAGTCCTGCCGTCTCTGACATGGCCTCCTCCTGCTCCAGCTCCACAACGAGCTGCCGCAGTACCGGGATCCCTTCATGAAGCGAAGCTCCGAGTGGCTGCTGAGCATTGCGAACCGCGGATGATTCTTTCCCTGCACACCTTGTTACTGACAAGCATCCTTGCTAATTTTCTTGTCTTGTAAAGGATCGTCGTATACCCGTCCCTCTCTTCTCCTCCTCTTCTCGTTCCTTCCCGCTCCCTCCTCCTCCCCAACATGCCTGGTCGTCCTGGATGTCCCAGTGCTGTAAACTATCCTCTCGTCCTAATCGCTCCTGTCCACCTTTACACAGTCTCTTTCTCCTCCCTCCTCCCTCCTCCCTCCTCCTGCTTCCTGCCCTCCTGCTCTTTCCTCTCCTCTCTCTCCCTCTCCCTCTCCCTCTCCCTCCCTCTCCCTCTCCCTCTCCCACACTCGCCGCCTTACCATCTTCGGGAATATCTCCCACTTGTAGGTCTTTCCCTGGCCCCCCTCCTCCCCGCATATCAGGTTATTACCCCCCTCCTTCCCGCCCGCCCCCCCCGCCCTCTCCCCCCCCCCCCCCTCACCGCAACCGTCTCTCCTCGCGCGTCAACGCCCCCCTCTCTTCTCCTCCTCCCCTCCTCTGTCGCTGCCTCTGTTCCTTGGTTGTGTTCCTCCCTTCATCCCCTTCCTCCCTCTCCCGCCTCTTCGAGGACGACAAGGTGAGGGAGGAAGAAGCCCTTTTGTACTCCGGAAGCATAGCGATGCATGGTACATGCTCCATCAGGCACATGGCGCTGCTCCTGCTCTTCTTCCTCTTCCTCCGTCCCACCATCAACACCAGGGACATGAATCGAGAGCGCTTCATGGCGGCATGTCGAGCTGGCCCGTTGAAGGGACTGCTCCGCATGCGAGGCGGGAATCCGTTCTTTGCTCAGAGCAGCGGGGAGGGGAGGAGGACGAACCGGACGAGTGAGGCGGACGGCATGAAGGAGCGCATGGACTTGTTGGGCAAGCTCAACCTCCGTGTCGAGGACTTTGTGAGCAAATCACGAGCTGCAGCGGAGGCGTGGGACCCGTCGGTGGTTGGTTGTGTGCCGGACATCGACTCGCTCGGCGAGGAGGTGAAGAATCATCGGAAGCCCTCGGGACGGTACGTTTATCCGCGCTCCGCCATGCCGCCTCCCTCGGACGAGCCCTCGCACAGCAGGATGAGATCTGCTGTTGAAGGCATAACGCTCGATGATCCTCCCGTCAGCATTCAAGTCCAGGTGTGCCCGCTCTTCTAATCCTCTCTCCTCTTCACCCTTCGACTTGTTTCAAGGCTTCCTGCCTAGTTTCATCTCATCTCATCTCATCTCATCTCTTCTCCTCTCCTCTCCTCTCGTCTCGTCTCGTCTCCTCTCCTCTTCCCATCTCTCCTCTCCTCTTCCCATCTCTCCTCTCGACTTCTCTACACTTCACTTCCTGTCTGTCCCCGTTGTCCGTCCCGTCATCTGTCCACGACCTCTTGACTCATCGAGGCTGCAGAGAGAGTCCCTGGAACAGATGAAGGAGGCTGTAGAAGCAGCAGCAAGGGTGGGCCTGCTGGAAGACGAGGAGTCGCCATATCAGTCTCCCACTCATTCACCGCTGAGGAAGAAGAGAGAGGAGGAGGAGGAGGAGATTGTCTTTGAGAAGGGAAGCAGCAGTACAGAGAAGAGCAGGAGGGAGACGGAGGAGGAGGTTTTCCTGCAAGCTTCAGCTCGAGCTCTCTCCCTCCTCGATGCTGAGAAATGTTCTGAAGCTTTCCCTTTGATCCGTGAACTGCTGGAGGTAACACTTCCTAGCCCTCCCTTCTCCTCTTCTCCACTTGTCCACTCCCTTCCCCTCCACCGCTTGTCTCCGCCCTTCTCCTCCTCTCCTCGTTGAATGTTTCTGATGCGTTCTCCCTCCTTCACAGCAACGTCCATGTAACGCCACCCTGTGGATTCGTGCGAGCGTCGCCCTCCTGCATCTGAAGAGGTCAGGGGAGAAGAGAGGGATGGAAGAGGACGCTGACTGTGAGTCACAAAGGTACCGAGAAGCTTCCTTGCATGCTGTCACTGCATCCAAAATCACGGTGAGGGCAAGATGCGAGGAGGAGGGGAAGGAGGAGGAGAAGGGGCGGAGAACACCAACAGGCGTACGGAAGTGCAACAGGATAAGTTATCAACAATGATAGGAGGAGGAGGAGGAGGAGGAGGAGGAGGAGGAGGAGGAGGAGGAGGAGGAGGAGGAGGAGGAGGATTTCTCGTTCTGATTGATCCTCTCCAGTCGACCTCTGTGCTCGCCCACCTCTGTGCTGGCCGTGCCCTCCTGGCTCTTGGACGAACTGTCGATGCGCAATGGCACCTGAGCAAGGTGGTAAACCCTCCTCCTTCCCCCGACGCCGCTCAGGCGATCTACCACCTGGACCTCATCACCGCTGGCAGACAGGTACAGGGGGCCGGGAGACGGGGAGGGACGAGTGATGGGGGGCAGCCTATGCTGTGGGTCGGGACTTGCAGCAGAGGGAACAGAGAGACAGAGACAGAGAGACAGAGACAGAGAGAGAGAGAGAGAGGACGAGGAAGTTTGAGCAAGGGAGGGTGGACAGAGGGAGCGAGGACAAGGTGGAAGGGTGGTAGGAGAAAGGGAGGTAGGAGGGGGACGAGGGAAGCCAGGAGCCAGGAGCCAGGAGCCAGGAGGTAAACATGGCTGCAGGCCCTTGACATGGTTGCAAACGTGGAGCACTTCATCGGAAGATCGCGATCGCTGCTGTCGCTGTGCACGTGCAGTCAAGGTTTTTCACACGGGGGCTGGCTGGGAGGGTCTTCCAAGGAGGAGGAGGCGCCTGGAGATGACGTGCTGGATGAGGAGAGGAAGAGACAGGTAGAGGAAGGAGTCGAGATTAGCAGATACTGACGCTCCTTTCCCTCCCTCCCCTCCCCTCCTCACTCCTCTCCTTCCCTCCCCTCTCTTCCTCACTCTTCTTCCCCTCTCTCTCCTCTCCTCACGGACTCTCCCCACTCATCTCTCAATCTTACCCACCCCCCCCCTCTCGCTCACTTCACTTTCTCTCTTCGGCCTCCCCCTCTTGTTCTTTCTGCATCAGGAGGAGGAGATGGCAAGCTATGCGATGACGTTGGGAGAGAAGGCGCAGGTGACAATGCTTCTCTTCTGCTGTTGCGACCTTGTGAAGATTTTTGTCAGTTCCTCTCGCCAGCGTCTGTACTCCCGACGATCGTGAAAGTGAGAAGAAGACCCTTCGATCCTGCCCTCTGTTCCTGTCTCTCCTCCTTATACTCCACCCTCTTCAACTTCAACTTCAACTTCCTCTTCAACTTCAACTTCCTTTTCCTCTTCCTCTTCCTCCTTCGATTCTCTCCTCGCGTGTTCTTGTATCTCCTCTCATCGACTCCTCACTTCCTCTCCAAGGTGAGAAGCCTGCTTGTGATGAAGAAATTCACCGAAGCCATTGCCATCTGCGAGTCAACTCTCATCAGCCCCAATGATGTACATCCCTCCTCCTCCTCCTCCTCCTCTGCCTCCTCCTCTTCCTCCTCCTCTTCCTCCTCCTCGCCATCAACAAAGATCCCGATCGCTCCAGAGATGTGGCTGCTACACGCCCGTGCTCTACATCTGAGCGGCGATGTCGAGGGTTCGGAGAGGTGAAATGAATTTCTACCTTGCTCCTGCGTCTGACAATCTCTCCCTCCCTCTCCCTACCTCTCTCCCTCTCTCTCTCCCTCCCTTCCTCCCTCCCTTCCTCCCTCCCTCCCTCCCTCTCTCCAGGATCCTCCGCAGCGCTATTTCTTGCAACCTCTACAACGCTGAGAGCTTGTCGGACGAGAAGGCGTTGAACTTCTCAGCGATCCGCCGCGGCCACTGCACTCAACATCGACCGCACGTGTCAACGTCGGGCTGTGAGTATGACCGGGTTGATTGGACGTGGACCTCAAGGTTGACAAGCAAAGAAAGGGAACACCTCCTGCATCAGTGTGAGCAGGTGGGGCAACGGGAGGAAGGGGAGGAGCGGAGAGGAGGAAAAAGGAGAGGGAGATGTTGAGGTGGTGGAGGAGGAGAAAGGAGAAGGAGAAAGGAGGAGGAGGTAAAACGAGGACGATGAGCTTATTGAATTGTTGTTGCAGGAACTCTCTGTGCTCTGTAAACTGCAAGACGGGAGGAATAGGGGGAACATTGCATTTCAAAACAAGAAGTTCGCAGAGGCTGTCGCATCTTACACGTCAGCACTTGAGGTAGATGAAGCTTTCCTCTCTTCCTCCTCCTTCAGAGCATCTGCAACTCCTCCTCCTCT